ATAAGAAATGGAAAGTGAATTGTAACATAGACTTGACTGTCATGGAACTGTAATAAGATGTAAATGGAAGTGTAAGTATTGACCATCTATCAGTTCCTAATCTTTTAGGGATTGTTCATATTCAGTTTAGTATATTTCTACTGCGATGTGGCTCACCCTATATGGGAACATCATTTTCAAGTACAGGTAGCATGCCACCTCTGAGGACATAGCTTGGGAGGCTAAAGGCAGACATACTTTTGTTGCCTTATTTTCCTTGATTGTATTACATATAGATTTAAGCCAAGGACTTAATGTGTAATTAAGTTAGCACTCTCTTTTGTAACCAAGTGTAAACTTGGAAAGCTGTAAGCCCGTAGGGCATTTGCTTTTGTTGTAAACATGTAATACTTTTGTAATGAAATACTTTGATGAATAGATGAATGTGGACTTTTATGTATCAATGCATGTCTCTATATGGATGGGTTTAATGTTATTATTTTGAGGGCGTGACAATGATTGTTGTAGAAATGCATGAGACTTAGGTAAATCGAACCACATTTCTCATTTGTTGCATTGGACATTACATTACATTCATTTCATTGGAAATGTATCTAGTTTTGAGAAATGTTTGGAAATATATCTATTTGCGAAAAGATAAATACTTGGTGAATCTAGGTAGGGGGTGTAGAACCTCGCGATTAGGTGTCGAGCCTTCCAGTTTACTGGTAAAAATGACAGTGGTAGTGCATTAGGGCCTACTTGCAGACACTCACCTAGAGATTCACAGAGCCTGTATTCATGTAACAGATATGGTTTAAAATGGACATGGCTTTATATCTGTTGTTACATCTTAGCATTGCATGCTTTATAAAAAAGAGAGATAAACTGTTTTATCATGAGCATGGCATGAGCATACTCCTCTTTTGTCTTGTCATGGTTCATATGTTGTGTAGTATATCTCTATTAGGCTGTGGCTCACCCTATAAGGGAAACCATTTCAGGTACAGGTGCTATGCCTCTGCCAAGGCATTGACTTGGGAGGGCTCATAACTGAGGCTTCATTTTTGTTTTATTATTATTTGTTGAATGTAAGCCCAGGGCTGTATTTGTGTTGAGTTGAAACACCATTTTCTGTAACCAAGAATGTTCTTAGATAAATTTGTAAGCCTGTAGGGTACTTATTATCTGTTTGGCTTCCATTTCATACTTGTTGTAAAATGCATGCTTGAGATTGGAACTGGGGCATTGAGATGTGAACAGTATGTATTTGGCATTTGGGATTTAATGGAAATGGATGTATGGAATAGTTAGCTATATATATGTGTTTGTCTATCAGGTGGGTTTTGTTACATAAATAGATATATCCTACCCAATTTTCGGGGCACTACAATTACTTATCTCAAATATGCTTTCAATGATAAAATTCTAAATTAGCGACACATAACCATTGATGTCATATATGGAACCTCATGTAGTGTTTTGCAGCATGCCTGCCCTAGTTTGAAAGTGTTGGCCCCATACTCATCTGAAGATGCTTGTGGACTGCTAAAAGCTGCCATTAGAGACATTGATCCTATTATTTTCCTTGAAAATGAGTTGTTGTGAGTACTCAGTGCAACAATAAGTTGTAATATATCAACCATATCCATATATATCATTATTATATTATTATTGTCCGATGTGACTTTTGTTCTTCAGATATGGCGAGTCTTTCCGTATTTCGGCAGAAGTTCTTGATTCCAGTTTTTGCCTCCCAATAAGGAAAGCTAAGGTATTTTTCCTTAAGATTATGATAGTTCTGTGGTTGCTTCTCCTGTCTTGTGTTGTTGTTTATTTTATCATGATTCACTATTGTTGTTATTTATTACCTTCTATCTCCTAGGTTGAGAGAGAATGAAAGGATGTCACAATTACAACTTTTTCAAGGATGGTGGGCTATGCCATTAAGGTTTGTCTATGAAACTTTATATACCTTTTGAGATGTGATCTTTGTCATTTAGATATATAACCAAACGTTGCTTGTTCGATGGGAGGATAGTGGTTTTTCACAAGAAGTGATCTTAAGTTGAGAAAATGAAGCTATAGTTTCAACTTGAAAAATTTCAGGAGCGTCTCTGTATTTGGTATAGTATGCTAACTAGTAATTAGCCTACATTCTACAAGGTATAGTGGTTTTGATTGTCACTACCACGCGGAATACAGAGTTTTAAGGCTTGAATAAGTCTCTATGATATTGTGGCATTGCTTTTAGCTTTGTGGATGAAATTACTTTGAATTGCAGCTAAGCATTCTCATATAGTGTTGTTGCAGTTCCTTAGTAAACACTTTTGTATTTATCTTCAATGAGAACATTAGTGATCTCTATTGTTTGTTGACATTGCATATCTTTCAAATTCTCGTTTATATTACCTTTGGTTACAATTAGTCAATTTTGTCCTCCCCCCCCCCCTGTAACTATGTTGTGTGATGTTCAGGCAGTTGAGATTCTTGCGAAGGAAGGGATCAATGCTGAGGTATTGTAACACCCCAAAAATATAACCATAAGTTCAACTCAAATGCATATAAATAACTGCATGGATCAGAGTGTAAAGTTCTTCCATTTCATAATGTTAATAGTATAAAAGAGTTTAGCATAAATAAATGCCCTATAGGCTTACACCTTTCCAAGTCTTGGCTTGGTTACAACAAAAGTGAGACTAGCTCATACAATTTAAGCCCTAGGCTATACAAAAAGTGAAACAAAACACAGAAGCTCTTGCTTCCCAAAAGCCCCTCCAATGCTATTGCCTTGGTAGAGGCATGCCATCAATACCTAAAAATGTTTTTCCCAAATAGGGTGAGCCACAGCCCAGTAAGAATAATCTAACACAATATATGAGATTTAATGAAGATATAAGTGCAATATGTATATACAATGCCAGGGATCAAACATTCACATTTTTTTTTTTTTTTTGGTATAGTGATAGAATACCGAGTCCATGTTTCATTTCACTTTCCTTCAATTCATTTCAATGCATGAAACAATTTCATTATTTCTCAATAACCCAAATGTGACTACAACTTAATGGTCTTACAATCACACCATTAACACACAAACACTTCTATCTGCCATTTTACAAAAATTTCGTCCGCGGGATCAGCACCCAGGTATAAATTTCGGAACTTTCACCCAGGACACTCCGGCCAACTTAATTATAATGGAGTCCATCCCCTTTCTCATGCCAAACAATCATACATATACACTGTATTTAAACACATAATCATACATGGAGTACATCCACTTTCTCCCCCCAAACAATCATACATATATAACGTATTTACAACATGATCATATTCAATGATAACCAACCATGGATTAGTCTTAATTCACCTAATCCTCATGCAATTTCTACAATAACCATAACTATCTATAGACGTGCCCGAACGTCACGGCTCCGCGCGCTAATGGCGCGAAATCCGTTTTGTTCATTAGCTACTACAGTTTGGACTCAACGTCCCGGTTCTGAATCTAATCTCGCAAAGTGCAATGCAAGACCAATAAATCACCAAAGAGTCCAAATCCGGCAAATCGTTTTGGAAAACTGATTTTTATAAAGAAGTGACAAACATGGACTGCTTTGCCAGATACAGAGTCGCCACCTAAATGTTTTTGCTTTGGGAAATTTAGGAAACCCTGACTCGTGCCAAAGGTCACGTGTCCGTCATCACCAAAGTTGCATCAGCTCGGGAACTTGGGTACGAGAGGGGAAGGTCATGCAATGAGCACCCCCGCTCGCCCGATCAAAAATCGGCCTCTACTAATCATGATATGTTGTTTTTGAAAACACATGTGTTCTTATTCCAGTTTATTAGCTAACCTTACTACGTGATGCGCACAGCATACAGGTATAGACTATATTGCCTAAATTGGAACAAAACATTTCATGTTTGTTTTGAAAACGGTTTGAAGGTGCTACTCGCAAGTAGGCTAAGACGTGGATTTGCCACCCTCAAGTGGGCTTAGGAAAACATGATTTTGCCACTCTCAAATGGGCTTAAAACTCGCACTTCGATGATTTGTTCCAATTCAAGTAATCTTACCTTCACCCACAGGCATTCAGGCAGTTATATCATTTAAGCAAATAGCCTCATGGCAAGCATGCTAACATGGTAACACTCACACTCAAGCGTAAAAGCTTACCTAGTACTCCGAGCCAAAACAAGAAGCTAGTTAGTAATCAATGCATGATCCTAGCTATATTAAGATGCCTAATGCAACACATGCAAAATGCAACTAAAATAGGCTCGGCTATTCTAAGATGTCATGCGAATTCAGCACTTGATAACATGTATTCAAGTCGGTATTGAAATACAATGCAGTTTGTATGATGCACCGAGCCCGATGCATGCAAAACAAATGAATGAATGCAAACATGCAAGCATAAGGATGCTAATCAAAAGATGACCTAGAACTAACCGTCGTAAGTAGTTAAATAAAAGGAGAAAGACATGGGGTTGGAAGACATTCACACACTCACGCACACTTATTACAAAATTCACCCTCCCGATGGAGGGTCCGAATAAATAATACAAACCAACTAATTAACTAAATATCCTAGCTAATTAATTATTACAAAACTCTTAACTAATTAAACAAATTAATCAAGTTACAAAACCAGCCAAGTATGAAACTAAAACACGCTACCACAGCTCACTACTAAAAAAATGACTTTTTGCGACCGCTATAAACCGTCGTAAATAATAAAAAACAGTCGCAAAAGACTTTTTGCGACGGCCCATGCGACGGCAAATGGGGGTCGCGAATATGGGGGCGGCAAATACTTTTTGCGACGGCAAAACAACGGTCGCAAATTATTTGCGACCACCTAAACTACTTATGGCGGCCGCTATTTTGCCATCGCAAAAAACAAAGAAAAACACTAACATGATCTTTGGCGACCATCTTGTTACCGTCGCAAAAAATTAAAAATAAAAATAAAAATAAATAAATGAAAGTGTAGCGTTAAGCACTCTAGGAATAACAATGACAAGAATTCAGACAGTATAGCATTATAGTTTTATTGAACATTCTATTTGAGTCTCAAAATTTGAGCTACATGTAAAAGTTATTACAACTAAAAACTTGAAAAAAGTTCTTTTATGAAAAAAATACAATCCAGAACTGGCCAATCTTCTCATCAATTTTCTTGCTCGGGTGTTTCTCCACTCTATCAATGAACTGGCATAACACCTTGCACCCATATTCATCAAAATCATTTCAGCAAACACTTCCACTAATGCTTTGGCAACCTATAATTGATGCCAACCAAAATGTCACAAGCAACAAAGATGAATTATTTCACTATAAAGGTGAGAGCAGAAGTCCTTCCAGATTCATGGGGTTAATTTTTGGAGCGCATGTGCATGTGTAAGCAAGCACACACATAATTATTCTATGTCAGATGAACATAAGAAAGACTAGAAAATATAACCAAAATTCTGGTTATCAGAACAAAAACAAGTGAAACAAGAGGGATTGCGGGAACTATAATATGTATAATAGAACTACTAGTGTAATCTAGTGCCAAATTAAAAAAACCAACCTTTATTGGGTTGATCCTCATTTCCCTCAGAAATTCCAAGTTATCAACCTGAAAGCTAAGGAACTTCCTGTTGCCAAATTAAAACAAGGTTTTAATTCGCTTCCAAACACCAACTCTAACGTTAGTATTGGTCATGTTAAACAATCTCTCCATGCAAAGTACAAAGATGTAAGGAGATAAGGGGGTCTCATTGTCTCAATCCCCTCCCATTATTGATGCCATCAAGTACCTTCCTGTTCCAAAGTACAAATGAATGCCCATTTGCTACATAGCTCATGATCAATTCAATCCAAACATTATCAATATTAAATTCGATAACTGTGTCTTTTATGAAATTCCAGGATAATCTGTTATAGGCTTTTTCCCAATCAATTTTAAAGACCATTCCACCTACTTTCCCTTTCCTAAGATTCGGTGTATTGATGATTTCTTACGTTATGATGATATTGTCAGTAGTAGTTCTTCCAGGAATAAAACTACTTTGGTTTGGGCTAACAATACTATCCAAAAGAGGCCTAATTCTGCTCACAATCAGTTTAGTGATGATCTTATAGGTAATGTTACAAAGACTGATGGGTCTGAATTGCTTAATGTTATTAGGGTTACTCATTTTGGGTATAAGAACAATTAGTGTCTCATTCACGTCTTTGGGAATCTCTCTTTTGAGAAAACAATTTCTGACAAATTCACAAACAGATTTTCCCACAATATTCCAATACTTGTGATAAAAAACAAAATTAAAAATTAAAAAATTAAAAAAAAATTAAAAAAAGCTTGAATACCATCTTTACCAGGAGCCTTATAGCTTTTAATGTCTTTGGCAGCTTTCCAGATTTCAAAATTAGTTAGAGGTCTCTAAGCATGCCATCATTATCCTCTGTAGTGAATTTGGCAATGAAAATATCATTCCAATCCTCCAAATTTTGGTTATCTTCTCCCCTAAAGAACTCTTTGAAATAGTCCACAATAATTCTTTTGACTCCCTCAATACCAGAAACCCAATTTCCCTCATCATCTTTAAGCACATTAATTTTTAGTTTCCTTCTCTTAGTGATGGAAGAGATGTGAAAAGATATAGTGTTTCTATCTCCCATAGTAATGTGCTTAGTTCTAGATTTTTGAAGCCAGTGGACCTCCTCTTGAAACAAGGTGGTAGTATACTGTCTAATCAAATCTCTTTCTAGCATTTGCAGGTTGTGGTTGAAATTAGTGGCTTGTGATCTTTGGATGCCCTCAATTCTAGCAAGCAGTCTTCGTTTTCTTTTAAAAATATTACCAAAAACCCATTTGTTCCATTCTTTGACTCTAGAGTGACTTTGACAGTGGAATCAAGGAGGTTATTGTTCATATCAGCCCATGATGAGTTAACAACATCAATAAGGCCAGGATGGGTCATCCAAGCAGCTTCGAAACTAAAAGGTTTGTTGAGGGGGTTAAGGGTATGCATACCTTGAGTGTAGACGACAAGAGAGGAATGATCTGAATATCTTTTGGGGAGGACTCTAATAGTGGCTTTTGGAAACATGGTTTTTTATTCTGAATTACACATAGCCCTATCCAGCCTTTCCATCGTATTCGCAAGTCCTTGCCTGTTGTTTGTCCATGTCATTCTAGCCAACAGGTCGAAGTTGAATTTTAGATAG